TTTGACATGAACATCCCAAATTTTGAAATCTTGAATTTTACTCATAAAAATAATTTAGTTTATCTTTTAGGTTTCCCCATCTAATTCTACGATGATGAGTCCTAGTATTCTTTATTTTACAACTCTTCATCTTAAAATCTAGAAATAATAAACGATGTTGTGTACTTAAATCCTCACTTGGAATGACCTTACAATCTTTACAATCTCGATGATCTCTTCTTCTCATAAGAAAATAATCAATTCGTGTTTTATTAGATCCATTCTTATGAGTAATAAGAAACTCATCTTTTTTCTTGAATAAAGTATTAGTAATAACAAAATCAAACGTTAAAACAAAATCTAAAACCTACTTGAGGAGCATAAGCACTTATTATATAAAAAATCTTAGTATCAATGATAATCTTATAGGCTATAATTCTATCTCCAACTCTATTAATTTTACAACTTTCAAACTCTTATCTATAATTACACCTACATCATTTCTAGCGCGACTCTTACCAGAATACCAAAGTTTATAACCTAAGTTATCAATCTCCTTAGCATTTTCTTCAAACCATTTAGTTTCTTGAATATATAAGATATTAATATTTTCATGAATCATAATATCAACTAATTACATTAATTTACTATTGAGAGTACATATATTTCAAGATCATATCCTAATATTAGTTTCATTAGTTTCATGGACTAACTTCTTTACCCGCATTCATCTGTAATGTGGGAACCCTTGTTTATTTAACATTACACCTGGGCACAGGTGTAGCGGCACTTGCACATTTTTCACTGTATTCAAGCTATACAGTGTGTCACTTTAAGGGAACGCCCTAACACTTACACAATAATCAAAATGATTCATGTTATGATTTTTTTCGACAAGTTTGCGCTGGTTGTCGACTATCTAACACAACCCTCCACTTTTCACATTCGGGCTTGAGATTGGCAATGGTAGTATTATTCTGAGTCATATTATTTTACTAAAAGAATTTTTAGTGATGAGATTATCATTGAATTTAATTTAAAAAATCATAATATTTTAATAGTATGTCATGATGAATAATTATAATCTAAAATAAAACAAAATGTAATTAGTATGCATCGTGAGTGGCTATAGCAATACCTAAAATTATTATTTCAATAACAATCATTTGAAATTCTAGTGTTCATGTTAAGAACAAAAAAAATGATTTATAATTTTTTTTTTTTAATAGTCTTATAAATTTTAGTCATTAATTTGCATGAAAAACTAGTAGCATATATTTTAACCATTCGAATTTTGAGGAAACCCCCTATGAGTAAGAGCAAATCAATTTCAATTTTGAGTCATCAAATGATTACCAAGTAAGTTACAAATTTGGAACATAATTACTAGTCTTAGAATAGAAAAAACATTGAATAAGTCATCTAATTGGCCCTGCCTATCACTTGCCAATGAAAATTCAAGCACCCATCAAAGCATGTGTTGCAGTATTTCACTATATCACAATGTAGCATTGTGCTCACAGCACAAGCTCAAAACAAAATCCTAGTTCAAATTTTATGGTTCAGTTCAGCATCGGCCATAAAAACTAAGTATGAAAGTTCGCCTTTCCTCACTATTTCACATAGTCAATTTATTATTATTCATAGGTTTTTCGTTCTCTATCGTTGAATATAGTAACTTCTTGGTTGTGTTTTTTTATGTTTTCATGCCTACAATTTTTCTCATACACTTCCCGCTAGTTCTTGGCAGTCACTAGGATCTCACTCACATGCTTCTTGTCATTCACTAGTTCTTTTTCACAGCCACTCCACACAAGCTACATGTACTCTTAGTTTTTAAGTATATTATAGCATCACTTCATTGATTATATCTTTAATTATTTTTCTTTTGGACAATTGGAAAGTATTATTATTATTATTAAAATCAGTATTATATTTGTTAAAAATGATTATCAAATGTGATTTAACTTTGGCTAATTAAATGACTAATATATGTGTATGATATATGCATATACAATGTACAAGTCATGATCGCTCTAGTTACTAAATCATTGCTTCCCCTTGAGCTTTGCAAATCGAAAGAAAAGAATTCATTGAGCAATGAGCATTGCATTATATCTAGAGCTTTCAAAACACGGGAGTTGTCACAGAGAGGTATTTAGTTAGAAGGCGTCAAGAAATTTGCATGTAATGCATTATAGGTGAATCTATAACTCGAAAGGTATTAATTATGGATCTATTTATACCTGAAACCTAATAACGCCACTCCTAGAGCAGGGAGGATCCATTTTCAGCTTATTGACTGCCTCTTTCATTGCATCTACCGCGTGCGTAAGGGTCAAAGCTGGGTCCAGAGTTCGCGTCAAGCAGAGTTCCACAGGCAAATCAAAGCATCCAGTTTCGACGAACTCATCGACCGAGATTTCCAGTTCCCGGACACAAAATTCCTTCTCTTCCTTCTCAGCATAAACCTGCCAGAAACAACGATAAAGTCAACATCAATATGGTGTACAACGATAAAGTCAACATCAATATGGTGTAAAGGTTGATGGAATAAGAAGAGTATAAAGGAAATGCGAAATGAAAACCTGAGAATTAGGGTTTGAGCGTTTGTAGAGAAGGTACAGGCGATTCAGACGACGGAATGGAAAAGAGTGCCGGAATGTGGGGGCAGGGATGAACGATGAATGCCGCGGGATGCGGTTATTTGCGCGGAGAAGAGAGGGTTTGAAGGAACGGAAGAAATCCGAACTCTGCATCTTCACTAAGTTCGAGAAGGATGAACGAGACGAGGTAGATAAGATGGGAGGATAGATTGGTGGGGATAGTGGGGTTTTGGAGTGTGAAGATGGGAAAAATTTTGGGTACATAAGAGGCACGCTGAGACACGTCAGTTTTGTCAGTCCCACCGCTATACAAATATATTGGATAGTGGGGTTTTGGAGTGTGAAGATGGGAAAAAATTTGGGTACATAAGAGGCACGGTGAGACACGTCAGTTTTGTCGGTCCCACCGCTATACAAATATATCTTTTACTGTGCGTGATCCGTCGACCCGACCCGTTATTGTATCCTCCATATAATCATGATGTAATCTCCGCTGTCCACCCAATGTACTGTGCTTGTAAGCCTCATATAACTCCGATGTAATCTCCACTGTCACCCCCATGTACCGCGCTTGTAAGCCCCATATAACTCCGGTGTAACCTCCGCTGTCACCAAAGGATGTAACCCCCTTGTAAGCCCTATATAACACTGGTGTAATCTCCGCTCACCAAAGGATGTAACCCCGGTGTACGTTCCGCGGAAACGCCACTGTAATCTGCGTGTACTATCGTTGTACATCCGGTGTAACCTCCGACTGCGCGTGTACACTAGATGTAACCCCGGTGTAACTTCCGCGGTAACGTCCATGTAACCCCGCGGTCACGCATCAGGATGTACACTTGATGTACAATACGTGTAACACCGGTGTAACCTAGAGATTGTAACACGCGTGTAACCCGAATGTAATGTCCGTGTAACCCGATTGTTCTGTCCATGTACACTGGAAATGCGCTTGTAACCCAATTGTAATGTCCAAGTAACTCCTTATAACTTTTTTATGCTGGTAAAAAAAAACACAGTAAAAATTCGTATTCAAAAGAAGGGATTCGCGCCGCTAGGGTTCCTCCATCGTGCTCCTTTTGAAGGTTAGGGTTTTGCTACTGTGAGGGGTTACACGCGTAATGGAGGATAAGGAGAGTACGAAGACCTTGGAAGAGACCACTGGTGCGTATTTGGGTGAGGGGAACCAACCCGAACGCGAGCAGGCAACTGTTACAGTGAAGTCCGGCTGCAAACAGTCCAAAAAGGGAGAGAGTCATCCCGTTTCTGGGTATTTATTAGATTGTTGTATCAGTTTTCCTTTGAATGGTGAAATCTTGTTCACGGTTAAGAAGCACAACAATGATATGTCTAACAAGTATTTGATTATTGTGCAAGGTTTTATACCAATTTTAAAAAATTAGGTTTGAGATTCAACCTAAAATTATAAAACCTAAAATAATTTGCAAACCTAAAATAATTCATTTCCTAAAATTATTTTAGGTTTGCTGTGAAATGAATTTTAAAGCTATCCCTAATATCGCCAACTATATTTTATTAAACTTCTTTCCTATATTGTTGTAGGCTCTTGAACCCAAAAGCAATTAGTTACAGATGCCGTCCATCTACAGTACGAGAGGTTCTCTATAATGTCTTACCAAAAGTCGATGAGGACACATGGCATAAATTGGAATCCTTGAGTCTGGCGCAATTTTTTGAACTCCCT